AAGTAAATGTTAAAATATATTTGATTAAAAAAAAGAAATAAAGACAAAGAGAGTGGCCCTGTCTCCCAGTCTCTATAGAAGAGTAGGAGCCTACATTTCTATTGGCCTGTTTAGTTTCAATCAATTTTTTAGAAGTCTAAAAATAAAAAAATAAATAAAAATAAATAAAAAAATAACACTAACCCTAAACTTAACCCTAACCACAACTCTTAACCCCAAACCCTAACCCCTGACCCTAACTGTAAACCCTAAACACTAAACCTAACCTTAGCCCTAGCACTAGCCCTAGCCCTAACCCTAACCCCTAACCCAAACCCAAACCCTAACCCTTAACCCTTAACCTAAACCTAATGCTAACCCCTAACACTAACCCTAAATTCTAGATCGAGCCTTAGCCCTAGCCCAAACCCAAACCAGAACCCCAGGCCTAGCCCAAGCCCGAACATGAATGCCAGCCCTAGCCCTAGCCCAAACCTGAACCCGAACCAGAATCAGAACCCTAGCCCTAACCCTAAAGTACTTAAAAATAGATGTTAGACTCCTAAAAATGTGTTTAAGATCATTTTATTACCCAGAGAAACATGTATCTGAAAGCATAATTTAAATTCATGGAAAATTTAAATATATTTAAATCATCATTTTACACACGGTTTTACAGAACACCATCGAAAGGATAGAGTACAACTAATTGCTTTATTAATTTATTGACAAATATATTTAGTATCTATTTTATTCTAGGCATTGTAAGTTCTAACAATTCAGCACTAAATAAAACTAGCAATCTATCTATCCCTATATCTACCTAAAATTTGCCTGAAAGGGCTTACACAAGCAACCAAAAAATTGACAATATGTCAGGTGTTGTGAGTGCTATGGAAAACATTTCATCAATTAAAGGGGAAGAAGGATCATGGGGTGGTAAAAGGCAGAGTCTAGATTTTTATATATAAGATGACCAGGGAAATGGCAACCTAGCTTTCAAAGATTTCACCGATAGCCTGAGGACACAGACATAGACTTGTCACAGGTGCAGAGCCACCACAGAGAGCCCTACTAGGGCAATGCCAAGCTGACTGAAATGATCCCTGAAGCATTTGTAAAATCACGATTGTATGATGTTTTCTTCCTTTACATCATGTGTGCACTTGCAGTAGCGTCCCTTGTCTCTTGGAGTTTCTGGTGGCCCCAGGTGTCCTTTTGCTTGTGGCAGCATAATTCCAACCTCTGCCTCTGTCTTCACATGGCCATCTTCCCCAAGTGTCTGTGTCTTCATGTGGCATTTTCCACTTCTTACAAGGACACCAGGCATATTAGATTAGGGCCCACCCTGATCACCTTGTCTTAAGTTGATTACATATGCAAAAACCTTATTTACAAATAAGGTCTCATTCACAGGTACCAAGGGTGAAGACATGGACATGTATTGCTGGGGGAACACAGTGCAACCCACAACCAACCCCTGTCAGTAAATTCAGCACTTCAGGTACAACATTACAACTGCCAGGGAAGATCTTGGCTGGTCAGGAGCTCTGGCAGCACCAGCAGCAGGATGAAAAGAAGCTGGAGTGCCCTCGCCCCCTCCCCTTGTTTTATCTAAAATTTTGCTCCAGCCCTAGGAACTGATTTAACTTTCTTCTCCTCTCCAATGCAACGCAAACTTATAACAATTTTTGCCCATTCCAAGCTCACCTTTGGGAAAGTGGGGGCCTCTTTTCCTCCTGCCTGGTGGAGAGACCGGAGACCTAGCACATCACCCAGGCTCAGACCTCACTCTCTTTTCTCTCTCACTTGACCATCATGGCCAGAAGCAGCCAGCGTGGCCAGCACATCCCCTCCTGGAGCTGGATCTATCATCTTTCCCTCCACCAACTTTAACCCTCAAATGGTAGCTCAGCTGCTGTTTCAGAATGTGGATGACTCAACAGCCACCCAAGTACCAAAGTCTCACCATCCCTTACCCTTCATCTTCCCTTTTCCCAAACACTGCTTTTGCCAAATTTCAGTGAGTCAAAGTCAAGCAAATCCCACTTCTAATGCCAACTGTGTCAGGTATCCCCAAGACCACCCCCAGGTCCCGCTAGTAGGATTCACAAGACTCAGCATACAGTCACACTCATGACTGTGATTTGTTACAAAAGGACACACAGGGAAATCAGCAAAGGGAGAAAGCACTGGAGAGCAGTCCAAAAGGAACCAGGCGCAGGGTTTTAAGAGTCCTGTCCCAGTGGAGTCACACAGNCTAGCTTTCAAAGATTTCACCGATAGCCTGAGGACCCAGACATAGAATTGTCACAGGTGCAGAGCCACCACAGAGAGCCCTACTAGGGCAATGCCAAGCTGACTGAGATGACCCCTGAAGCATTTGTAAAATCACGAGTGTATGATATTTTCTTCCTTTACATCATGGTGCAGTTGCAGTAGCGTCCCTTGTCTCTCGGAGTTTCTGGTGGCCCCAGGTGTCCTTTTGCTTGTGGCGGCATAATTCCAACCTCTGCCTCTGTCTTCACATGACCATCTTCCCCAAGTGTCTGTGTCTTCATGTGGCATTTTCCACTTCTTACAAGGACACCAGGCATATTAGATTAGGTCATATTAGATTAGGGCCCGCCCTGATGACATCCTCTTAAGTTGATTACATCTGCAAAAACCTTATTTACAAATAAGGTCACATTCACAGGTACCAAGGGTGAAGACATGGACATGTCTTGCTGGGGGAACACAGTGAAAACCACAACCAACCCCTGTCAGTAAATTCAGCATTTCAGGGACAACATTACAACTACCAGGGAAGATCTTGGCTGGTCAGGAGCTCTGGCAGCACCAGCAGCAGGATGAAAAGAAGCTGGAGTGCCCTCGCCCCCTCCCCTTGTTTTATCTAAAATTTTGCTCCAGCCCTAGGAACTGATTTAATTTTCTTCTCCTCTCCTAATGCGATGCAAACTTATAACAATTTTTGCCCATTCCAAGCTCACCTTTCGGAACGTGGGGGCCTCTTTTCCTCCTGCCTGGTGGAGAGACCGGAGACCTAGCACATCACCCAGGCTCAGACCTCACTCTCTTTTCTCTCTCACTTGACCATCATGGCCAGAAGCAGCCAGCGTGGCCAGCACATCCCCTCCTGGAGCTGGATCTATCATCTTTCCCTC